CCACGTTTTCCTTCATAGAACCCAGCTTCTCGTATTATTTGCTCAGCATACATATTGAACAAGAATGGTGAAAGAACATAGCCCTGTCGCACACCTTTCCCAATTTTAAAACATTCAGTGTTCCCATACTCTGTTCGAACAACTGCCTCTTGGTCCAGGTACAGAATTCTCAGAAGTACAATTAAGTGTTCTGGAATACTCATACTTCTCAATGTTAGGGCAGTGTATTTATAAGGAGCTCAGATAGTGTAGTGGTTAAGAATCTGGCTGCGAACCTTACGGTCAGTAGTTCAAATCCACCAGCCGATACACGGGAGAGAGATGAGTCTTTCTTCTCCCGTAATGATTTACAGCCTCGGAAACCCATACAGGGCCGTTATGGGTCGTACATGACTCCAAGGCACAAAAAAATAACAACAGGGTATCAGAGGAGCAATTGGCGACCTTGAACTGAAACCTTGAAGTTAAAACATCTTTGAAGTCTGGTGCAATAACCCACAGCATTACACAAGGACTTCCAATTTGTCTCTGTCTATTTATCTCTCTGGATTTAGATAGATGATAGATAGATAGATAGATAGATAGACCACTGAATCGGTTCTGACTTATAGATAGGTACCCTGTACAGGGTTTCTAAGGGTGTAAATCTTTACGGAAGCAGAAAGTTTCATCTTTCACATAGAAGAGCTGGTAATTTAGAACTGCTGACCCTCAGGGAGATTTGAAGCCCGATTCTTAACCACTAATCTACCAGAGCTTCTTATATAAGACCCTGTATAGGGTTTACGAGGAGCAGCAGCTGGTGAGCTTCAACTGCCAATTTTGCAATTCCAACAGCTTTGCAGTTTGGCGAATTAAGCCGCAGCACCACAACAGGTCTCTGAATATATATATATATTGGCCTCCAAGGCCATATGTATATATGTGTCCTGGAATAAGTTACAACACAGAGATCCTATACAGGGTTTTCAAGGATGTAAAAATTCACGGGAGCAGAAAGCCTTATCTTTATGCCATGGAGGAGCTGGTAGTTTTGAACTGCTGACCAAGACGTTTACAGTCAGATTCGTAATCACCACGCTAACAGAGTTCATTATGTGTATATGTGTGTGTGTGTATATATATATTAGCAGTCTTGCTGTTTGGCTGTGGTTTATTGTGTTATACTGCAAATCCGATTGAACTGGATGGTTGGAAGTTTAAGATCACTAACTGCTCTTAGAAAACTCTATATATACAGTAGGTACATAAGGAACTCTGGTGGGGCAGTGGATTTATAAGGAGCTCAGATAGTGTAGTGCTTAAGAACCTGGCTGCAAACCTTACGGTCAACAGTTCGAATCCACCAGGTGCTCCCCGGGAATGAGATGAGGCTTTTTGCTCACGTAAAGATTTACAACCTCAGAAACCCTGTACAGGGCTGCTATTGGTCTTACATGACTGCATGACACACAACAATAACAATAGGGTTTAAAAGGAACAGCTGTTGAACTTGAACCACCAACCTTGCAGTTAAAATGGCTTTAGAGTCTGGTGCGATAACCCACATCCCAACTCCAGGACAACAAATCTTGCTCTAGCTCCAACTCTTACTCCAACTCTTGCTCCAGCTGTCACTCCAGCTGTCGCTTCAAAACTCACTCCAACTCTCGATCCAACTCAGGTTCCAGCTCTCCCTCCAGCTCTCACAACTGCTCTCACTCCAGCTCTCACAACTGCTTTCGCTCCAGCTCTCACTCCAACTCTCGCTCCAACTCTCTTTCAAACTCTCACTCCAACTCTCACTCCAGATCTATATGGTGTATATATATGCTATCAAGTCGCTTCTGACTCGTAGAGACTCTGTACAGGGTTTCCAGGGTGTACATCATTATTGAAGCACAAAGCTTCATGTTTAATGCATGAAACAGCTGGTAGTTTCCAACTGCTGACACTCAGTGAGGTTTTAAGCCTGATTCGTAACCTCTACCCCAACAGAGCTTCTTATGTAAGACCCTGTATAGGGTTTTTGAGGAGCAGCTGGTGAGCTTGAACCGCCAACTTTGCAGTTCAAACAGCTTTGCTGTTTGGCGAATTAACACACAGGGCCACACCAGGACTCGGAATATGTTTATTTATAAATATAAATACAAATATAAATATATGTTGATGTGTGTCCTGGAGTTGGTTCTGAAATAGAGATCCTATACAGGGTTTCTGAGGCTGTAAAAATTCACGGGAGAAGAAATGCTCATCTTTCTGCCAAGGAAGAGCTGGTAGTTTCGAACCGCTGACCATGACATTCACAGCCAGATTCTTAATCACTATGCTAACAGATGTCCATACATACATATACATATAAATTTATATATATGTATATTCGTAGTCTTGCTGTGTGGCTCTGGTTTATTGTGAAAACTGCAAATCCAATTGAACTGGATGGTTGGTAGTTCAAGTTCACCAACTGCTCTTAGAAAACCCTATATATACAATAGGTACATAGGAGCTCTGGTAAGGCA